TTAGCACTGCTGCTACTCTCCCTAGGCGTGGTCGTCCTGTAAAAATGACTGCAAGAGCACAGCGCAGAATGCTGCATGAGGTAAAGAAGAATCCCAGAGTGTCAGCTAAAGACCTACAGAAATCTCTGGCACATGCTAACATTTTTGTTGACACATCTACAATAAGGAAAACCTTAAACAAGAATGGAGTACATGGGAGGACACCACGGAGGAAGCCATTGCTGTCCAAAAAGAATATTGCAGCACGTTTGAAGTTTGCAAAAAAGCAGCTGGATGTTCCACAGCACTACTGGCAAAATATACTGTGGACAGATGAAACCAAGATTGAGTTGTTTGGGAAGAACACACAACACTATGTGTGGAGAAAAAAAGGCACAGCACACCAACATCAAAACCTCATCCCCACTGTAAAACATGGCGGAGGGAGCATCATGGTTTTGGGCTGTTTTGCTGCCTCAGGGCCCGCACGGATTGTTGTCATTGATGGGAAAATGAATTCCAGAGTTTATCAAGACATTTTGCAGGAAAACATACAACCATCTGTCCGCCAACTGAAGCTCCGCATAGGATGGGTGATGCAACAAGACAATGACCCAAAGCATACAAGTAATTCAACAAAACAATGGCTGCAACAGCACAGAATACGCCTTCTGGAGTGGCCCAGTCAGAATCCTGACCTCAACCCGATTGAAATGCTGTGGCATGACCTTATGAGAGCGATTCACACCAGACATCCCAAGAATATTGCTACACTGAAACAGTTTTGTGAAGAGCAGTAGTCCAAAATGACTCCAGATCGTTGTGCAGGTCTGATCTGCAATTACAGGAAATGTTTGGTTGAGGTTATTGCTGCCAAAGGAGGGTCAACCAGTTATTAAGTCCAAAGGTTCACATACTTTTTCCTCCCTGCACTGTGAATGTTTACATGTTATGTGCAATTAAACCATGGCAACATCTAATTTTGTGTAGTATTATGTTCAGCAGACTGTGTTCTTCTATTGTTGTGACTTAGATGATGTTCAGAGCACATTTTATGCCCAATTCATGCAAAACTCCACGTAATCCCAAGGGGTTCACATACTTTTTCTTGCAACTGTACCTGAACCGATGGTGCATTTGGTCTGATGAAACTGTGACGGAGGGTACGCGGGACAGAACACACACGGCAGACGGCAAACACTTAAAGCTTTATTAAAACAGACAACAGTCACTCAATGAGGAGTAGTGCAGGGAGAGAGAGTCCAAAATACTTGTAATCCAGCCCCGGTGGGCAAAGTTAAAGTCTCTACAGCAATTTGTAATCCAAGAGGCAGTTCATAAGCAGTCAGATAGCACAAGGGAAGCATACACTCACGCAAAGCTGATGCGGTGGTCTCAGGCAGAGCTGATGTGGTAGTCTCTGGCAAAGCTTATAGTGTTTCAGGCAGGGCTGATGTAGCTTCTGGGGTCCCCCTTCCTCCACTGGGGCTCAGGCAGAGCCAGGGGGCCACTAGAGTCCAGCTGGACCCCTCAGTGCTTGCCCAGCAGAATGGCTCAACAAGAGAGACCAGTACTGGCCTCTTAAACCCCCTGAGCAGGGTAAGAGGTGGAGGGGGGGGGGGGGTCATTAGCAGGTGACAATGAAGAGAATGGTCAGGAATGGAACTATAGTAATTTAATTTTTGGCTGTAAACAGAAAATACTGGTTGGACAGGCTGGACACTGAAACAGGATAAATTGGATTTGCAGCTGTAAACAGTGTAACAATGGGGGAAAATACATTAATACAAAAGTAAGGCACTAATTAGGGATGTGTACACTAACCCTAACCTTTTGTGGAGGGGGGCCTTAATTACAGCTAGGGGCCTTTGGCACACAGGAGTGAATACTAATTGGAGGAGGCTCTTCCTATGGCCAGGAAGGATTAGGAACAAGGAATTAATACCTGGGGATTAATAACTGAGCTGGCAGAGAACTCCTATCGTGACACTCCGGATCAGTAAGCAGGAATTGAAAATTGTCCGGGCCCCTATACCGTGACAAAAACCAAGGTTTAACTTTTTGGCCATAATTCCAAAAGATATATTTGGCGCAAAAACAACACTGCACATCACCAAAAGAACACCATACCCATAGTGAAGCATGGTAGTGGCAGCATCATGCTTTGGGGCTATTTTTCTTCAAATGGAACTGGGACCTTAGTCAAGGTTGAGGGAACTATGAACAGTTCCAAATCCCAGTCAATGTTGGCACAAAGCTTTCAGGCTTCTGCTAGAAAGCTGGACATGAAGAAGAACTTCATCTTTCAGCATGACAACGACCCAAAGCATACATCCAAATCAACAAAGGAATGGCTTCACCAGAAGATTAAAGTTTTGGAATGGCCCAACCAGAGCCCAGACCTGAATCCAATCAAAAATCTGTGGGGTGATCTAAAGAGGGCTGTGCACAAGAGATGCCCCAACAATCTGACAGATTTGGAGTGTTTTTGCAAGGAAAAGTGGGCAAATATTGCCAAGTCAAGATGCACCATGTTGGTAGACCCATACCCAAAAAGACTGAGCGCTGGAATCAAATCAAAAGGTGCTTCAACAAAGTATTAGTTTAAGGGTGTGCACACTTATGCAACCATATTATTTTAGTTTTTGATTTTTACTTCCCTCCACCTAAAAAATTTCAGTTTGTTGTTCAACTGAGCTGTACAGTTTATAGGTTACATTAAAGGTGAAAAAAGTTCTGAAATTATTTATTTGTCTTAATTTTTTATATCATAAAAGCCTGACATTTTGACAGGGGTGTGTAGACTTTTTAGATCCACTGTACATGTTGTACATTCACACCAGTCCCTGTTCTTAAGGAGCTCACATTCTAAGATCCCTTCCTCCTAGGCATACATACACACATACTAGGACCAAGTTAGACTGGAGCTAATTAACCATCCAGCATGTCTTTGAAGTGTGGAGAGGAAACCGAAGTACCCAGAGGAAACCCATACAAGCACAGGGAGAACATGTACACTTCATACGGATAGTATACTAGCCAGCATTTGATTTGAGGACCCAAGTGCAGCAAGGCATAGGTCGCAATCACTCGGCCACCATGCTGCCCTTTTGAATTATGAAGGGAGGTTCAGGTTCATTGGGCTTTAAGTATATTAACCTTTTGGATCCAGCCATCTAGCATAATTAGTCACAATGCAGATCAGTAAGGTTGGCCATAGATTATGTTTTCTTTCCTTCAACCATGGGTGGATTGATTGACATCAGTACAACCAGCCTGGCCATAGACAGGTCTAAATTTGTCCGGTTCCTGCTGAACCGGCTGAATTTCCATCCATCTATGGCTGGCTTGAGTCACAATTTCACATGAGTATGGAAGCAAGAGTAGGTCATCTAGAGATGTGATTGCTGAGATTAAAACTTTCTTAAATTGGGTAGTATGTAGAAAATGCAATTTGATTTCCACTTTGTCAGTGTAAAATTAGAGCTGAAAGATGATGCACTTGGTTACTGCATTTGCTGGAAAATGACAAAATAATGGGTCTTGCTTGATGTAAACATTGTTTAGGTAGAAGATTCCTACTCTTTTCTGCTGATATCCCACAAGATATAATAAGTATTTTTACTCAGTACTTACCTACATTCCTCAGATAAGCAACATTCTTCAGTCTGTAAAAGTGCAGGAAAATTAATTGACATCTGGACTGTTTACGCTACATTCTTATAAAGTGAACCTTAGAGGACAGAAATATGGGAGCTGCCACTGCTGACTTGCTTTCAATATTACAAGCCCCAGGATTGTCAATCTGGCTGCATTATTTAGTGCAGGTATCTCCAAGCTTTCTAAACAGAGGGCCAGTTTATTATCCTTAGCACTTTAGAGGGGCTGGACTGTGGCTATTGGGAGTAGAAATGGTCCTGACGTCCGCTGGAAAAACAGTGCTCCATTCTGGTGCCATTTGGAGGAATTGTGCCTTATCATTGGTGTCACTGGGCCCCATTGTTGGTGTCACTGGGAGAAATTGTGTCCCATCATTGTGTCAATGGGAGGAATTGTGTCCCATCGTTGGTGTAATTGGCAGGAACTGAGTCTCTTCATCAGTGTCAGTTGGCGGGAATTTTACCCCATTGTTGATATCATCAGTGAAAGAAACTGTGCCCCATGGACTGGATAAAAGCAAGCAAAGGGCTACATCTGGTCCCTGGGCCGCAGTTTGGAGACCACTGATCTAGTGAGTTACTGACCTGGAAAAAAGGAATGGAGCATAATTCCCCATGCACACTGGACGTTTTCACAGCGACTGTTTTTTGGCTTTTGGTTTTTTTCTACAGCCAGTAAACTCCCCAGCATGTTATCCTATGTGTCCATGCATACATAGACTGTAATCGATGTTTTTTAGCGGGGAAACTGAAAACCCAGGACTAGTGGGTTTCTAGAGGAGTTTTTTAGCTGTAAAAATGCTCACATTGCTGCAAAACGTGGTAAACCGCCACACAACTGGTGTTTTTTTTTTTTTTTTTTTTTTTTTACCAAAAAATTTTTTATGTTGGTTAAAAAAAAAAGAGCAGAAAAACGCTACTAAACACGGCAAAACACCGCTAAACGCTAATGCAAAAATGCTAAAAAAAAAGCTGAAAAACTCACTTTTTTAACGTGACTTTACACAGTTAACATTACCAGCGTTATCAAAACGCCCCGTGTGCATGGAGCCTAAACACTAAGACTTTACTATCTACATGCTTGTTTTAGGTCAGTGACTAAGTAAGCAGTAAAAAGGCATCTGTGTCTTTAAAAGGAAAACTGCTATGGCAGCTTCCACATTCCTGTCTTTACAGTTTCACTTTAAATAAATGTCGTACTTTAGTGTTGACTTGTTTCACTTATGTTGTGTTTTGCTTTTGTGTAAAACATTGTGCCTGTATTTATTACCAGATACTGTAATTGTTGTACTTGTATGGTATACAAATGAATGCGAGTGAAGAAAGCATTACACTGCAGTATTTCATATATTGGACAGTTAGGCAGGTCCAGGGGCGGACTGACAACTCATGGGGCCCCCGGGCAATAGGGGATCATGGGGCCCCTGTGTCCTTGCCCATACTCAAAAAAGCCTATGAAAAAGTTACCAGGGGCATCTCATGGGGCCCCCTATGACCCCAGGCCCTCGGGCAGTGCCCGAGTTTCCAAATGGTCAGTCCGCCCCTGGGCAGGTCTGATTGCAGAATAGAGTGATTTGAAATCTATATGTATGGCAAAGCTCTCTCCATGGCACACAACACATTACAATCTCCTTTAACTGTGCCAACAAGTATTTAGTACAAGGGCCAGGTTGGTCTGATGCGAATTGATTACATAGTTTATGTAGGTCCTCATATTACATAGTTTTTGTAAATCTAAAGTTGAGTGTACCAAGATTGTATGATTATATTGTAATGTGTATGGTAGGCCCTTCTCTCTCTCCTCTCCCTCTCTTTCCAGTCTATTCCACTAATCATTTATTTCAGTTTCCATCTTCTGACTCTTGTACTTTTTTTACTTTTCCTTTCTTCATTCTGCCTTCTGGACTTCCCCAAGAATTGTTGTTTGGGATTCTAATTACATGGCCAAACTATCTATTAAAGCGGAGCTCCAGTCTCACTTGCTTGAAAAAAAAAATTTCAGTGGCTACAAAAACTGGAGCTGCTGAATTTTAAAAAACAGCCACTCACCTGTCCTTGGATCCAGTTGTGTGGTTACACCAGCTGGGTTCAATGGCCATCTTAAGTGTGGGCACCCGGCTCTGACAAGCTTGCGGCTTCACAGCCGGATTGCCACGGTGCATGTACAAATAGCGCTGCGCTTTGGCCTGTCATGTGTCCCAGAAGACTACGGGGAGGGAGGGGGAGAGGACAACTTCCGCTTCCAATCACCTAGGCGGTCAGAGGAAAAGTGGGAGCAGGTACCTGGCAAAATCGCATACCTGCCCCTCCCCTAAGGTACCAATTCCTCACAGGGAGTGGAGGACCAGTCCCTAAAGTGCCACTTCCCCTTTTGGATGGAGCTCTGCTTTAACCACTTCCCGTCCAGCCCATGTACATAAACGGCCGGACGGGAGCAGTGCAGGAGCGGGTTGCCGTTCATAAACGGCGCCCGCATTTTCAGGCTGTGCGTGCTCTCCGGACACAGCGGAACACCGATCGCTGTACGGGACCTCTGTGTGAGGTCCTGATCATGTGATTACTGATTGGTCAATCAGTGACCACATGAATAGTAGTAAGCAAGATGTCACTTCTGACATTGCTTACTACTAGTGAAATCTGTGAATGATCACAGAGGTCACATGGTACAAGGCTATTCACAAAAAAAACCCAAAAAAACATAAATAATAATATAAAAAAAAAATAAAAATGTAAAAACCTTTTTTTGAAAATTATAATTTTTGGTTATAAACTAATTTGGGTTATTTTTTTTTTAATAAAAGATGACCGAATAAATTTTGGCCAAGATTTATGAAGAAAAATTTTATTTGCAAAATTTTATAAAAAAAACACTTTTTTTTTCAAAATGTTTGGACTTTTTCATTTATATAGCAAAAAAAAAAAAAAAAAAAAATCTCAGTGGTGAATAAATACCACCAAAAAAAAGTTGTATCTGTCTCAAAAAAAAAGCTCTATTTGTGTGAAAAAAATTATAAAAAATTCATATGGGTACAGTGCATGACCGCTCAATTGTCGTTCAAAAGTGTGATAGCACTGAAAGCTGAAAAATGGCCTAGACAGGAAGGGGGTAAAAGTGGCCAGACTTGAAGTGGTTAAGATATTCAAGTCTGCTTTTTTTAGCCTGTCTGTGTATGATTGGAGAAATTTCCCTTCACTTCCTATCCCAGAGACACAAAAAGAAGATAGGAGACATTTTGGGAATTGCTTTCTTAGACAGTTGTCCCCCTTACCTTTTTGTTCTGGAGGCAAGTCTAAAATTCTTTACCATCATTTTCTTTCATGGTTACCAGTGAAATGGAAGGATGACTCTCCTCAATATGAAAACAGTCGTAAAAAATGAACAGAGGATTTAACCCATCAGTTTTTAGGGTGGAACATTTGGGAACCTTTTCCCACTGCTGCAGTATCCATCCGCTGTCCTCTTGCCCTGTGACAGCAGTATGGGGAGAAGTTCCCTGTACTAGCTGTCACTTTTTAAAAAACCGCATGACTGTGTGGGGCTGTGCTTGCTTGGCCGTGTCATTCCTTCACAGTGTTCTGTGAAAGAATGAACTACAAGTCCCGACTTTGCGGCTGTTGGCTTGTAGTTCTCAATGAACTACCATGGCACTGTTGAGCGCTGTGGTAGTTCAGTGATTTTTCTTGTCACAGTTTATCTGCTTGCCTGAATGAGGTAAAGGCACACACATACAATGACAGGTTTGCAGGAGTCCTTCATGGCACCAGTGATCTGCTGATTGCTGGTGCAATGCTTTCCAGGCTCTAAAAAAAATATAGTAAACACATTTTTTTCACCTGGAAAAAAAGGGCATTTATGTGTTTATTTTTAGTGAATTTATCCTTTAACATTATGTGACCAGAGGTAATTGATGCTAAGACCAAATTTTGCATTGGAAAGCTTGTTAATAACCTCATGACTCCTTTGCCTACCTAAACAATTTTTACATGGACACACAATATTTTGGCACAGTGTATCAATAAATGTACCTTCCAGATTTCTTCTTATAGACTAAAAAATGGACAAGAAAAAAAAATGTAAAAATGTTCTTGGTTTTTTTTTTAAGTTCAAAAAACTTTTAGTGTGTGTGTGTGAGAAAAGAAATCCAGACAATCACATTGGCTGATTTGGAAATAATTTATTTGCAAATTATGGTGGAAAATAAGTATTTGGTCAATATGAAAAGTTCATCTCAATACTTTGTTTTATATCCTTTGTTGGCAATGACAAAGGTCAAACGTTTCCTGTAAGTCTTCACAAGGTTGGCACACACTGTTGCTGGTATGTTGGCCCATTCCTCCATGCAGATCTCCTCTAGAACAGTGATGTTTTGGGGCTGTCGCTGGGCAACACAGACTTTCAACTCCCTCCAAAGGTTTTCTATGGGGTTGAGATCTGGAGACTGGCTAGGCCACTCCAGGACCTTCAAATGCTTCTTACGATGCCACTCCTTCGTTGCCCGGGCGGTATGTTTGGGATCATGGTCATGTTGGAAGACCCAGCCACGTTTCATCTTCAATGCCCTTGCTGATGGAAGGAGGTTTGCACTCAAAATCTCACGATACATGGCCCCCTTCATTCTGTCCTGTTTCTGTACATGGATCAGTCGTCCTGGTCCCTTTGCGGAGAAACAGCCCCAAAGCATGATGTTGCCACCCCCCATGCTTCACAGTAGGTATGGTGTTCTTTGGATGCAACTCAGCATTCTCTCTCCTCCAAACACGATGAGTTGTGTTTCTACCAAACCGTTCTATTTTGGTTTCTTCTGACCATATGACATTCTCCCAATCCTCTTCTGGATCATCTAAATGCTCTCTAGCAAACTTCAGACGGGCCCGGACATGTACTGGCTTAAGCAGGGGGACATATCTGGCACTGCAGGATCTGAGTCCCTGGCGGTGTAGTGTGTTACTGATGGAAGCCTTTGTTACGTTGGTCCCAGCTCTCTGCAGGTCATCCACTAGGTCCCCCCGTGTGGTCCTGGGATTTTTGCTCACCGTTCTTGTGATCATTTTGACCCCACGGGGTGAGATCTTGCGTGGAGCCCCAGATCGAGGGAGATTATCAGTGGTCTTGTATGTCTTCCATTTTCTAATTATTGCTCCTACAGTTGATTTGTTCACACCAAGCTGCTTGCCTATTGCAGATTCAGTCTTTCCAGCCTGGTGCAGGTCTACAATTTTGTTTCTGGTGTCCTTCGACAGCTCTTTGGTCTTCACCATAGTGGAGTTTGGAGTGTGACTGTTTGAGGTTGTGGACAGGTGTCTTTTATACTGATAACAAGTTCAAACAGGTGCCATTGATACAGGTAATGAGTGCAGGACAGAGGAGCCTCTTAAAGAAGAGGGTACAGGTCTGTGAGAGCCAGAAATCTTGCTTGTTTGTAGGTGACCAAATACTTATTTTCCATCATAATTTGCAAATAAATTCTTTCCAAATCAGCCAATGTGATTGTCTGGATTTTTTTTTCTCATTTTGTCTCTCATAGTTGAGGTCTACTTATGATGCCAATTACAGGTCTCTCTCATCTTTTTAAAGTGGGAGAACTTGCACAATTGGTGGCTGACTAAATACTTGTTTGCCCCACTGTATGTGTGTGTGTGTGTGTGTGTGTGTGTGTGTGTGTGTGTGTGTGTATGTGTATATATATATATATATATGTATGTATATATATATATATATATATATATATATATTTATATATATGTGTGTGTATATATATATATATATATATATATATATGTGTGTGTGTGTGTGTGTGTGTGTGTGTGTGTGTGTGTATATATATATATATATATATATATATATATATATAATATAAAAAATAACAATTACTTTTTTGTTAAGAGAAGTAGTACTTTCTCTGTGCTCAACACTGGCTTTATTGTCAATGACTACTGTTTATAAACAAAGCCATGTGATCACAATGTCATAGCTGATCTTATGATTGAAACCACATTTGTTTTCCAGTCATTAGTAGAGCCCAGAAGATGCCGGTGGCAGCATGGCCTTGCAGCTAAAAACTCACAGAACTGTAAGCTCCTTGTTAGATTACTGCTCCCTCAGCACAGTGTATCATATTGAGGATTGTTAATCTAAAGGCTGCAGATGAAATAGAGTACAAAAAAATTTTGCCACCTGGTAATACTGTATGCCTTATTGGCAACTAAGATACTTAAATAGGACAAAGGGCTTGTGGGTCTTAACCCCAAAGTCAGACGAACAAACTTTTTGTTCACACTGAATTTTTTCTTTGTGCAGGTAGCAGCACGTATGAGAACTATGCTGGAAACTATTGGTGAGTATTAACAGAGTCCTTTTATTTTCTTAAAATGTTTGTATTCCTCTGTAGAAAATATTGATTCTCTGTTCTAGCAGTTAAAGTGTATGTTAATACCCTCACCTTGTAAAACAACCTATTCAGTTTAAAATAGCAATGAAAGGCAAAACATTTTTGTTGTGCATACACTATATTGCCAAAAGTACTGGGACACCTGCTTTTACACACACATGAACTT